CCGCAGGAAGTGAGAGGGTGGTGGGACCTTTGTGGATGGGTCCGTCTGCAGGACTGTGAGCCCTGCTTCAGAGCAGCCTGAGGCCACTTAACATAATGGCGAGGGGAAAAGCCCTCACCTCACCTCTAACCTCAGTCCTGTATGTCTAATCTTCATCTCTTTGTCTGGCTGACAAACATTCAGTAACTGCCACCAAGAGCCAGGCATGTTTGACTTGGGGGAAAAGGTCATGGGGGTTGAGGGGAAGAAGAGGAAGGGGAAATGTTGACTCGAGTAAGGGTCCTGCCCTCCTTAAATGTAGGGCTGGAGGGAGAACACACACCTGCCACCCAAATGAGCACGAAGTGCTTCACAGGATGCAGATCAGGGAAGGTGTGTGCGTGCTAGAGAAAGAATCTGAGCTGGCATGGAGGGTGTGGAGGAGGAAACAGAACAGACTCCATCTTGGGCCGGGCTCTGGGCTTTGAGCTCTGTGCCCGGTATCTATGGCAACGACATACCAACTGGAAAACCAGACCCGCGGATGGAAGAGCCCCAGGGCTCCTACCTAGACTCTCCACAGCCTAAAATACCCTAATTATCTGTGTAACCGAACAGAATCATAAATTCTATTATGCTTATTGAGGTATGACCACGGGCCTATTGATAATTGTCCACTGTTAACTACCTAGGCTTAAGGCATATGAATCAATGGATTAACGTTGATTGTATTTTTCTTTTCCTTTGTTCAGGCTAGTTTCAGGGAATTTGGGGAGGTGGGTTTGGGCACGTACACTTAGGGTATATAAGGTTTTCACAAAAACTGGTTGGGTTCCTTGGCTAAGAGGAGACTCTGCTTTGGGCCCCTAATAAACTGCACTCCACTATCTGCATTGTCCTTCTGTGTGAGTTTGTCTCCCGAACGCATGGCTACAACAGATGGGGGACATCTGGACTCGTGAAATGTGGGGGAAGGGCTGACTGGAGGAAGTGGCACTGTGAGCAGAGGGGTGCAGCGCAAGTGGGGGGTATGCCGACAGGGGCAGTTTGGTGTGTGTTTTCAGAGGGGGGTTTCAGCATTCCATTTGGGACTCGTGTCACGTGAGTCTGTCCTGAACAAAGTAGGCCCCTGTCACCTGCACGCCCCCTCACCTAGTGCTACTAGTAGCTGTCCCTTTCCACTTGCATTTTCCAATAGCACTCCCCACCCCATGGGGCCACGAGGTAGGTAAGCGACAGTAAGCAGTCAAGTATGTTAGACTAGAAAGGCAGCGAGAGGAAGGCCTCGAATGCCCGAACAAGGTATTTGCACTTTATTAACCAAGGGAGGCTTCCCTGTTAGCTCAGCTGGTAAAAGAATCCACCTGCAATGTAGGAGATCCCGGTTCGATTCCTGGGTCAGGAAGATCCACTGGAGAAGGGATGATAGGCTACCCTACCCACTCCAGTATTCTTGGGCTTCCCTTGTGGCTCAGCAGGTAAAGAATCCGCCTGCGATGTGGGAGACCTGGGTTCGATCCCTGGGTTGGGAAGATTGCCTGGAGAAGGGAAAGGCTACCCATTTCAGTATTCTGGCCTGGAGAGGGTTGACGGACACGGCTGAGCGACTTTCATTTCACTTCAGCCAAGGAAGGAGTGGCTGCTGAAGGTTTTTAAGGAGAAAGGGGAAGAGAGCTACTTAGAAAAATGAAGTTTGTTGACATATATTCATTACTATGTATAAAACAGAAAACTAATGAGAACCTACAGTATAGCACAGGGAACTCTATTCAATGCTCTGTGGTGACCTAAATGGGAAGGAAATCCAAAAAAGGGGATATATATATATATACATATGTGTGCTAAGTCACTTCAGTCGCATTCAACTGTTTGTGATCTTATGGACTGTAGCCCGCCAGGCTCTCTGTCCATAGGATTCTCCAAGCAAGAATACTGGAAGGGGTTGCCAGGCCCTCCTCCAGGGATCTTCCCGACCCAGGGATTGAACCCATGTCTCATTATGTCTCCTGCATTGCAGGAGGGTTCTTTACCACTAGCACCACCTGGGATATGTATACACATAGCTGATTCATTTTGCTATAGAGCAGAAACTAATACAACATTGTAAAGCAACTATACTCCAATAAAAATAAAGAAAAACGAAGTTTGGAAGAGTGTGCAGGATGAACAGGAGGCCAAGGAAAGGCATCAATTACAGCTTCCTGTGACTGTCTCATCCAGGTTATTTTCAGTCAGAATGGGCTGCTTTGCCCACAGGATTGGCAGATGGCAAAGGTCAAGAGAGGGCCTAAACACTCTTTCCTGCTGATGGCTGGACCACCGGCTCATTAGAAGAGCATCTGCTACACCAGGATTGGACAATATTCTGTTGTCTCTCTCTTTCAAATGGACCCACCTGGGGATGACAGAAGAGCTCCGCCCACTTTGGTCCATACCAGCAGAACTTGTATAAAAGGCAGCAACCTTTGAGGGTCTCCTTTCCCAGGTTCCCCCAGTTCAGGGCCCAAACAAGGGAGCTATTCAGCCTGACCAAAGGAGACAGGGACGAAGACCCTCCCTGCGTGGCCCCCTCCCAGGCCAGGCCAGGGCTTTTGATCCAAGGCCAAGAGAATCCTGAGCTGATAAAAGCCCATTGTGGCAGGCCTTCAGGGGACTCTGGGGCTGAGCAGTCACTTAACAGCCTTGAACATTTGTGAAAAGAATTACTTGGCGGAAGTCAAGGCAGAATGAGGCCCCGGGCTACCACTGGCACCGACCGTGGCAGGGAGGCTACAGACAAAATCAGCAGGAACTGGCCTGCCTGCTGCTGAAGGGCTGACCTGGAGGCAGAAAGAACTCAGAAGCTAGGGAGGGCTCCCCTCACACACCTGGGTGGGAAATCCAATCTCCTGCCAAATGCGGGAAACAAACTGCTCTTTTAGAAAGGGCCTGGGGCAGAGAGGCACCTCCTGCACCGCCCCCCCCACCCCTGCCAGGGTGTCCGGAGCAATAAACAGCAGGAAAGGAGGAAGGCCGCCGAGTGGAAGCAGGTCTGGAACCTATTTAGCAGTCAAGCTCTTTCTGCTCCAGTCTTCCATGTGTTTTGAGTTCAGGCACCTCACCACTTGCAGGCATCGCTACTTACTGCAAAAATACACAAGTAGGAAGAGTTATCCTGAGATGACTGATGCCAGGGAGGTGGTGAGGTGATGGGCTGAACAAGGCTCGCTCAGCATCAGAATGAAGCTGTGGTGGGAAGTTCAGCTGAGGGTCACGAGCCCATCACACGCCTGTCGGCATGCTCACAGCGGTGGGAAGGGATGTGATCCCTGCGGAGGGGCCCTGGGTGGGGAGCTGGGTGGGTGCCGGGAGAACTCTGTCCCCGGCCCACCCCTTTCCCAGCTGACAGCTGGCCCTACCACTCTGGGAGAGGAAATGCAGAATCCAGGTCACAGACCAGCCTGCAGAGGCCTCTTAAGAGGCCGCTCTCCTTGGCCAGGTGGTGAGCCTGGGATTAAGCCGAGAGCAGAGGTGAAAGCACAATCAGTGTGGGTGCTGACTGCACACTTGTTTCCGTTTTGTTCCTGAGAGAATCTGAGGTGGGTGACCGGCACAGCTCATTTCTCAATCCTGCCCCCCCTCCCCCCCGCCCTTCAAAGACCAAGGCCTTTCCACATCAAAGTAAAGCAGAATAAGCAATACAATCCCATGACAGGCAAGGCACCTGAAGCCATCTACTGTGTCAGTCCAACCAGAGCGCACTGAGGGCTTGGCACAGAGTATTTTATGTCAACCCCTCTTTCAGCAAATGTGCCTACAGCTCCCAACTCAAAGATAACAAAGTAAGTTAACAAACCTCCATCCGACTTTACCTTCTAAGTACCCATGTCATGATAAACCTCACTTGACACCACTGATTAATTTCAGGCTGGGGATGGATCTGGAACACGGCAACCCAGTGTTTTCTGAAACTAAAGCATTTCCTGCCCTGCTGGAGAGTCTGTCCTCTCTGGTGATACAAATGTGCACACAAAGACTGCTGGAATGTTCTGTCCTGAGCCCATGGTTCCCACAAACAAAACAAACCCATAAGACTGAGCTAGAAGGTCTGGGTGTCATTTATTGATAGTAGTTTACACACATTTGTCTTCCTCCCATGGTCATTTCCTTCAAGGCACAGGCACGGAGCCCTCTAGAAGGGCAGTCTCTGAACCAAGGAGCCAGGAACACTGGATGCACACGTCTTTGGCAGGCCCGTACAGCTCTGGCCGGATACAATCCTTCAAGCTGGAAATCCGCCGGGTATTTGAGACACGAAGGTGGGAGGTGGAGAGGAAGGCCACAGGACTCTCATCTCGGTCCAGGCCTGCTCTCTCTATTCAAATCCATTCCAGGATTCTGGGGCGGGGGGGAGAGCAAATCAAATCAGGCCCACCCACCTTCACGGAGGCAGATTCTTCGATCCGTGCCGTTTGTACACACCTGCTTCCGCTGGTCCCGCAGTTACAGAGCATCAGCTTTATGGTAGGAGATGGATCACTTCCTCTCTGACCCTCCCAGCACCTCTCTTCAGCTGGGTCTGTGCAGGAACCACTGGAGAAATCTGAGGCCTGTGTTTACCATTCATCTGCGTGTGCCATCTTCCTCAAATCCTGAATGAAGGGCTGGTTGGAGGCTACAAGTTTACTCAGGCCTCCCACTGACTCCCAGCTCATTACACACAAGGCCCTGCCTTTCTTCTGCCAATTGCCAGAGCCTGGGCAGGAATGCCAGCCGGCCCCAAAGACAGGAGCCAAGCTGGTCTGTGTAGGCACTTAGCAATTTTGGGTAAGAAGGTATATTAAAAAAAAAAGGGGATGGAAATGAGAAAAATCAAAGAATTTCATCTGATTGAGTAACTAAGAGATCTGAAGTGATTTTACTTTTATTTCCTTCACTTTAAGCCAATCATGAGGTTTCACAGTGATTTCTGGGGCAGGAGAAGGAAAGTGGTGCTGAGCAACTTCAGGGCTGTGGTCCAGATGGACCAGGAGGCGTGGGCCTCACTGGGGCAGCTGGAGGAGCACCGACTGCCCGGCGGGCAGGTAGGTGATGTTCCGCGAGCGCGACAGCTGGTACGCGATGTCTTCCGCAGCCTCCAGCTTGCGCAGCTCGATCAGGCCGTCGCCTGCAGTGGCGAGTGAGTTGGCGATCAACTCCGCCGCCTTGGAGTCGCCCTCCGCAGAGATGATGGCTGCCTTCTTCTGCTGCTCAGCCTGCGAGGGTGGAGGCAGAGACCAAGATGACACCCTGGGGCATGGATGGTGGGTTACAGCCTCACAAGGGCTGCGTTAGGCACTCTCTCTGGGTCCTGAATGAGCTCTGAGATTTTACCTCCCCCTTCAGAAGGGCTCAACAAACACTGTTCACCCAATTCTTGTTCCCCCATCATGCCCACTGCTCACTACTATAGGGACACATTTTGCTTGGCTGTATAGAGAGCTCTCTTATTTCAAAGTCCTCAATAACATTAACAGCAACTGAGGCCAGCCACCTACTATGAGCCTGGAGGATCCCAGGCCACGGAAAGCAAGAAAGAAAGGTAGACTCAATCCTCATCTTTCCCTCCAGGCCGAAGTCAAAGTGACTTTCATCAAAACCAGTGCAGCCAAGTAGGAGCAGCAGGCACAGGATGCTCCTTAGAGTGTGGGCTGAAGGGGTTCCCGACCAGGAACTTGGGCAGCCAGTACAAGACCTCCTGGCTTTCCCAGCTCTTATCAACAGGAAGACGTCTCTCTACAATGCATGACCTTCAGAAGGGTGGGAGGAGAGCACCGTGCAGAGCCTCTCTGAGATTAACACACAGCTGCTCAACTGAGGCTCTGGGGCTGTTCACTCAACAAATGTTTAAAGATACCTAGTATCTACCTCAGGCACGGTTCTGGACATGTTCTAGAAGCTGGAGAGAGGCAGAAAAAAGAAAAAAAAATCTCCACCCACATGGAGTCTATATTCTTTGAAGTAAAACATCTACCCATATATCTCTCTTCGCTTGATTCTAAGGACTAAGGCATCTTGGGATTAGGAATAAAAATCCAAGTGTATTAGTGGTGGGGAGGAGATACATGAAATAAATACACCTTTGCAAAGACTGGAAGACCAGGCCCTGTGCAAATCCACCACATCCCAGCACACTCTGACACATCTGGATGGATTTAGTGCTTGAAAAAAATCCAGCGACAACAGTATATCTGGTGTAATGTTTGATCCTTTAGGCTGTCAGCTTTCACTGTGTAACCAAGGTTAAAAACAACTTCTCAGTGAAGCTGAAAATATTCCAGAAGAAACATGTTTATTTGTGGGAGAGTGTTTTTGATCTTAGGGATGTGGAAAAGAAATTACTCTTCAATGATTTAGGAACATAACCTCACATATCCCTGACTAGACCCTAAAGACCCTGGAACCAATTGCAGGAGTCAGTCCCTTCAATCCCCTTCCGATGATCCCGGAAGAAGAGATGACAGATGATGAATTTCCAGGCCACCCAGCGAATGGGGCGGCTGAGCACAGGAGAAAGGGGAGAGAGGCTCCTGCCATCTGGTTGAGCACTCACCTTTTCCACCACAAATCTGGCCCTCTCTGCTTCCTGCTGAGCCACCTGTTTGGCTTCCACCGCTTCTGTGAACTCCTTCCCAAAGGTCAGATGCGTCTAGGGGGAGAGAGTGAGAGCAAGATGAGGCATCGTAATTGCTTTGACAGGGCTGCAGCAGAGCCCCCATGGCGGTGGAGGAAGAGGCCAGGAATGGCTCTAGCAGCTGGAGACAACGTGAGGCCAGAACACCCTTCCACCTCCACATCCGTGTCCAAGCTGAGTTCACAGCCCAGAAGCCTCAGCTGCCCGAAGTGCTCCTGTCCATCACTGTCCTCAGGTAGGAAACAGCCCACGGGCACCAGAAGGTGTCTACTCAACGGACCACCTCCCTAGGGGAGGAGAACTGTGGGCTCCAGGACCCCCACCACCGACAAGCGCTCTTCCAAGGCCCTTTGATGGCCTGTTCAAAGCCCCTGAGACCAGACGGAAAACCGAGCCCCTGAGAGTGAGGCACACAGCTGGTTCTCAGGGATTCAAGAGTGTGAGGCTCTCTGCTTATAGATTAACCAGTCCACTGCTTTCTCACAGCATCTGCACCACAAAACAGGAAGAGGATGAGTGAGACTTCCAAATCATGATTTTGCAAATCACAGTATTCCTTATGAGCAAGTGCTTCTGGTAAAAGGTTTAAAAGAAAGAGAAAGCAGGTAAAGATTACTGTTAGGGTGAAGGTTTAAAATTCTGATTATGCACAGGCCTTCCCTAGTGACCAAGTGCAAACAATGGGAACAGAGCTCAGCACTCCTAAAGTCTAATTTACTTATTTATCTAACTTTTTATTAAACGGGAAGAATAAAGGGGAGAATAGTATGGGTTTTGCTATCAAATTCTACTTGGGGTGCTATCATTCCACCCCCACACTCCCAACCTCTGCTTTAAAAAAAAAATAAGCGGCTCAAAACCTCTTCTGGAGAGTAAATTGCAGTCCATTGTCTTTTCAGAATTTTTAACACTTCTAACTCTTATACTGCAGCTGTTCTACCTTGCTTGCTCCATTTCTGGATTCCTATTCAAAGTTTGCGGAAGAAAATATGATCCTGAGAAATGAAAATGAAATGCGCATATTAAGGAATAAAATTTTTTTCCAGAAGAGCCAGCTGAAGGCAGCAAACTCCCCATGAAACCTAATTTTCTCCTCACACCTCTTAGACACTGTTTCTTGTGGTCAACCTGCATTTCCCCAGAATGGACTATGTGGTTAAAATTTAGCAAAATGCCAAGGTTCTCCTTAGGTTTTTACTATGTTCTCATGGCCGAGATGTTTAGATTAACACTAAGTGGGAGGGCCTGAGAAACTGCTCTGGCCACAAGGGCCAAGTGGCTGCAGCCTGGCGTCTTGCCAGTGGAGGGAACCCAAAAGCCTTCCACGGAGGCAGCGCCCCGGGGTGAGCGGCGGGTGTGCGCAGGGTGACTGTTTAAACAGCTGCACAGAAGCCGAGTGGGGAACGGTGCCTTTCCCCAGCGACGCACAGGAGGACGGAACAGGAAACACTCTACTTCACTACCCGAACAAATCACTCCAAGTGATTCTTCCCAGAGAATCAGAAACACAACCCCTTTCCCTCACCCTCCCTGATCTGAAATGCTATCTTGCCTGTATTGCTTTCTGTCTGCACTGCGGCATTCCATGTCGTATAAATACACAGACCACACAGTCTCAAGAGGGTAACTCATGCCTCAGAGATGCCCCCATACCAGGCTTTGGGGGACGGAACCATTCATTTACACTCTATCACCTTTCATGGGAGTTCTCAGAGTTCCCGTCACGGCACTTCAAACCCTAGGTGTTAGGAAATTCCCAAGGGTCAGGCTGGGAGGTCTGGGCAAGGGAGAAAAGACTATCCAAGCTGCTCCCTGGTCTCTTGGGTAGTTTCTGTCTGTGTCAAATGAGGTAAACATGACAGCACTTCCCGGGGAGCTGTGAGGAACACTCAGTCTGGGGAAGGTAAAAAATCTAGTGGCTAGGGACCACCTGGGGAGGACCAAAAGTCAAAATAGGAATGTCTGCGGCACAGGAGAGGTAGAAGAATCCTCATCTGAAAATAAACCCAAGGAGACTGTTGCATACCACTAAGAAGGTTCCATCTTTTCAAGTCTTCATCAAGGAAAGTGGAAGGTAGGACCTCATAGTATCTACCCAGAAATGGAGCCAGGCACCCCCACCCCCCAGCCCCCAGGCTCCCCAAGACCCTTACCAAGGATACGTCATCCAAGATGAGCCCAAAGGTCGCTGCTCGCTCTGTGAGGTCATCGCTCACCTGTCTGGAGACCAGCTCTCTCTGGGTGATCAGTTCTCCAGCATCAAAGCGAGCCTGGTTCCAAGGGAAGGCAGAGGAGCCAGTCATGATGGCAAAGAAGTAGAATCCCAATCAGTCATCACCAAGCTCTTCCTGCCACTGAGTGCGCTCTTGGGGGCTGGGCTCGAGGCCGAGGCCCTGCTCACTCACCACCACGGACTTGAGGATCTCTGTAGTGATGGACGGCAGCACGCGCTCATCGTAGTCCTCTCCAATGCTGGTGAAGATGCGAGGAAGCTGACTAGCAACCGGCCGGAAGAGGATGCGCAGGGTGATGTTGACATTCTGTAAATCTGAGGGCAGGGCACAAATGCTGGAGTTAAAAGTACAAATCACATGGCCTCCTATGACCTCCCCTATGCCAAATCTGCTACAATTTATAAGTAAAGTTGCTGATTAACAAATCCTTCAAGGTGAGGTGCACAGGTTCATGGTTTCTTTGGTAGAGAACCCAGCAGAGCACCAGTGCTAATAACTCCCCAAAGGATTCTGGTGATAACAGCTTTTCCGTGTCCTGAATGCCCTCTGACACGAGCAAATTCTGATTACAGGTCTAGTAGGTGCCATGGAATCTCTGGAATAATGAATATTTTAAGCAAAGAAATAGGCCAATGCCAAGAATTCTAGGATAAGGCCTCTCCAAGGCCGGGCTAAATGTGGCTCAAAGCAGGAGTATGCTTTGGAGAGGCGATTGTGGGTCCAGTGGACTAGCCGTCCAGGGACTGGCTATGCCTTAACTCTGATGTTTACTTATTACACGGCCCCACTAAGCCTTAGCCTCTCTCAGCTTATTTCCTCATCGGTACGAATGGGGATGATATCATCTGCCTTCCAGGCATGTTGGGAGAAACTGAAGGAGGAAACGGGTACAAAAGCACTCTGTCAAATATGCAACAGAGGTGAGGGGTTATCAGACTCATCGAGAGGCTGCTTCTCATTACCAGTCAAAGGACCCAGGGAATTACAACTTCCCCTGACAATCCAGCTGTGCTTGGAGCTGAGGCACTGCTTGCAGTCATCAACAATATGGACCAAGTGCCCATGAGATGAGTTCTGAACCAGGCACCAGAGTGGGAAATGGTTACACACGTGCTCATTAAGGCCTTTAAGTTAAGATAAGATGTTTCTTAATGAACCCCACCCCACTGTTGATCTCCTCTGAAGTAGTAGGCAGGCCAGACCCTTTAGAGGAGGCTCGTCCTCTCCCTCGCTGGGAGAAACAGGATAGATTAGACAATACCCTGTCCCCTCCCCTGTCCAACACACTTCTCATTCTCAAGCACCAGCACAGACGCCCGTTCCTCACAGTTCCCCTCTGCTCTCCTACATGCTGCATTCTCCACACCCCAATTCTCAACGCCTGTCCACATCTGTCTCCCTTGCTAGATCGAGCTCCTAAAGGCTCCTGCTTTACTCATCAATGAACTACCCCACCCTCCGACCCAGCACAAAGCCTGACACGACTGTAGAAAGCAAACATCTGCCGAGGAACATCCATGTGACCCTCTCCTCTCGCACAGAATGGTCACAGCCGAGCCAGCATCTGCCGCTCCATTTACTGCGGTGCACCTCTGTGTGTATGATGTGGGGGAAGAACCGTGATAGCAATTCATTTCAGGCTCCAACTAGAGAGTCAGTGGCATGTCAGACACCAGATTGCTCTCAGGGACGTGTGCCTTGGCCCAGAAGGTAACAGTGTGACAGCAGCACTGCTGGAAACATAGGCCTTGGAAAGCAAGGCAAAGGGTAAGTCAGCTGTGAAGGCAAACACAACAGCTGGAGATCAGTTTACAGTCACCGTGGGGGAACAAGAACTGATGGGAAGGGTCAATCAAGAGAGAGAGCAAGGCACATTCAGATTTCTTTAAAACTGGATCGCTATGCAACTACTGAAATATATCTGTTCATGTCTCTAAATTCATACAGTTGTGTATGTATCTTGAATATACAGGCACACCTCATTTAATTGTGCTTCGCATACACTGTATTTCCTACAAATTGAAGGTCTGGGGCAACACTCTATCAAGCAAGTTTATCACCACCATTTTTCTAACAGCACCTTCTCACTTCATGTCTGTCATTTTAAAAAATATTTATTTGGCTGATTTGGGTCTTAGTTGTGGCACACGGGATCTTTTGCTGCAATATGGGGACTCTCTAGTTGTGGCTCGTGTGCACCCCCTTGGTTGTGGGATCTTAGTTCACTGACTGGGGATCGAACCAGTGTCCCCTGCATTACAAGGAAGATTCTTAACTACCAAGAAAGTCTGTGAGTCACATTTTGGTAACTCTTACAATATTCCAAACTTTCCCAATATTATTACATTCATTATGGTAATCTGTGATGTTACTACTATAATTCACTGAAGGCTCAGATGATGGTTAGCAATTTTTAGCCATAAAGTATTTTTTAATCACGGTATGTACACTGTTTCTTTAGAGATAAAGCTATTGCACCTGTAGTAGGATACAGCATGGGATAAACATCTATATGCACTGGGAAATAAAAATATTTGTGTGACTTGCTTTACTACATTTGCTTTGTTGCAGGAGTCTGGAACTGAACTTATATGTCTTGAGGCATGCTTGTATATTTCTTTCTCTGTAGCCACATAAAACTCTTGAGGAAAAATATTTAGGGAAGTTCAACCCATTCTGGATCCCATAGCACCCGTTCCACACACTCTACTTCTACCTGACCCACAGATGAGACTCACCTTTGCTACCAGTGATTACTGGCACGTTACGTGGTCGAGAGCGGCAGTCAAAGATGATTGGTTTCTGTACCCAAGGGATGAGGAAGTGAGTCCCTTCTCCTACGACAATGTCCTGAACTCCCCGGAACCGGTCAAAGATGACAGCTCTGTGCCCAGCATCCACTGGGAATGAAGGATAACAACAGGTCAGAAAAAACCCCTCACCCTTTAACCAAAAGGATCATGCCTGAAAGACCCCTGGTGTTTTCTCTTCATATAGTAGGTCTCTTGCTCTGTCTTCCACACTTCAGGACTCCAGAGGATTCTTAACAGCTACAAAACAAAGCAATCACTTTCTGTCTTGTGTCCTCCCAAGGACTTCAGTAACAGGATCTATTCTCAGCATTCTTCCTCCTTGAAACTGGCTGCTGATTTTCTGATTAACCACTCCACCCGTGAACTCCCACCAACACATTCCTAGGAACCAGCTCCCAAAACTTCCTTCTAAAACTCACAGTCCATCCTGGTTCCAATTTAACCCAGTGTTCCCAGGAGCAGCACCCTTCCTATGGCAATCCTAAAATTTGGAAGTCCTCATTTTTTTCTTTCCAACAGCTTGGTTTCTCTAAAGTCTGAAGGGGTTATAGAACTGTCTTGCTAATTTCAGAAAGAAATTAATGATGGTGATTATAGTCTAGCCATGCAGGGTGGCCAAAAAGATCAGTGTATAAAGCTGGGCCACAGAAGCTGAGTAGGCTTTTCTATCAGCCACTTTCTGTCTCTGCCTTTTTGGACTTTACAGTTGGTCCAGTATCCTCACTCTGAAAGTAATCCTCCTGCTGTCAGAGTCTCGCGTGAGGTGGGTCAATCTACTGCTGTTTTCCAACAGTGAAGTTAAGAGAATATCAAAGCAGGAGGGGTCTTAGACACAAACTAGTTCAGTCCTGCTGCTTGACCAGCGAGAAAGCTGAGTCCTATGGAGGGGAAGGTGACTTGCCTAAGGTCACCCAGAAAAGTAGAAGAAAACCTAGCTGGTTTTATTTTTTAAATTTTTGGCCACACCGCTCCACCTGCAGGATCTTAATTCGCCAACCAGGGACCAAACCTGCACCCCCTGCAGTCTTAACCACTGGACTACCAGGGAAGTCCCCAAAAGACAGCTTAAAGTCTGGTTACGCTGTTAAAAGCTGGGCAATGTATCTCAAAGATATTTTCTCGGGAACAAGTCAACTAGAGCAGAGCAAAAGTTTCTGCTCAGATCAAGGTCACCAAAGGTCTAAAGACCTTGCTGAGTTACTTCCCACACAAGCAGAAGAGAACGCACTCTCCATTTCAACTGGCCAGCAAAATCCTGACATAGTGCTACAGCATCACTTTAACAAGAGAAGGTGGAAACACCCAACTAGCTTGGGAGACTCTCTGTAAATAAAGCCTCTGAGAGAACCTATGGCTACAATGACAGAGGTTCTGATGACAAGGCCATCATATGGTGCAGGATGGCAGCAGGTGAGCCTTCTTGGTCACAAATATATTCACAGCAAGCGCTTGCCAACAGGAGTGTCACATGGGCTAGGCAGACCAATGAAAATCCTCTGGCAAAGGTCAGTGACCCACCACCCCTCAGCGCCTCACCATTATACAAGGCAGAGTTCACCACGCCTCCTGCAACGGCTAAGGCAAGACCAAACTTGCCAATGGACTCAAACACTTTGGCAGCCATGTCTCCTTTGGCTGGACCCACTCACACCTAAGGGGGTAAAAACAAAACAAACAAAACAACTCAATCCCCAATCCTCAGAGGAAGCCCTCTCTGAGGCATCCCATGCATTTCTCAAGCTAGCAATTTATTTCCCCATTCCTGAGAGCTCTAAATCTTCAACTGAAAGACATTTCATAAATAACACTCTGCAGCTTGTAAAAGTGTATAATCAATTCCTCTGATCTTTTCCCACTGCTTTCTTTTTCTACTACTTAAGAAATGGCCACTCGGGTATTGGTTCAAAATGGGAAGAAGGCATGGGCTGGATTACCCATAGAAAACTTAGCACCATACCAAAACAGCCTGTCATCTGGACCTGCAGGCCCCAGAAGAGAGGCTCCAGAAGAGGGGTTGGTTCTGTGCGATTTTGATTCAGAAAAGAACGTGATTCCAACAACAAAACAACAGTAGCAGCTAACCTTTACAATAGGCAGTCTTCTAACAGCAATTTGTGTATTTAATCTTCACATCAACCCCTATGAAGTAGAGGATTACACAGATGAGGAAACTGAAGCACAAAGAGAAGTTAAGTTACATGAGAAGCCTAAGATCAGGCAGCTATGAAGGAGGCAACCAGGATTAGAACCTGGAGGTCTAATTCTAGAAGACCGACCACGGTTAACTCCTCACCACGGTTTCTCAACGTCAGGTATTAAGAATGAATGACCTGTTATTATGGAAGCAGGCCCTGGCTGACGTTCTGGGGCCAACAAATCACGAGAAATAACAGGGCCAAAAAGGTACTAAACAGCTGCACCGCGAGCAACAGCCCTGGAACAGGTCGGGGTGGGGGCAGAGGCGGGGTGGGCGGGAGCGCGCCTGACCGCTCTACAATCTGCCCTTGCACTTAAACTTTGTCTTTTCTCCGCCCCATTGTCGTCGGCCACTTCAGCTTCTCGCCCTCCTTCTCAGGCCTCAACTTCTAAGTATCTTCATCTCTATCCGTGCACTTAACTATTCCATTCCCGTGATCAGGACGCCCAGTCCGGACCCCTCGGCCTTTCCATTCCTAATAGCTTCTGGATTATTCCTCACCCTGCCCCCATACACACCTACCTCACTCTACGCAACTCCTGGCTCCTCCCAGGCTCACCCCCTTCCCCTCCGACACGAGGCGGACCCAGGCACACACCCTGCCCGCCCCAACTTGAGATGAATGGGAACGCTGAGGGGAAACTGCAGAGGCGCCAGAACGCGGACCACAGCCGCTCCCCAGCATTCTCACCTGCTTCCACTCTGACCTCCACATGAATTCCCCAGCCGCAGATTGCGCGTGCGCCGGACAGCTCCTCCACGTCCCCGCCCTACTTCCAAGATCCGCGCTTCGGATTGGTGACGAAGAGCGCTGTGCATTCTGGGAACGGTGGCTTGCTGCCTTACTGTTGTTCCCAGGCTCTTCGCAGATGAACTACAATTCCCAAAAAGCCATGCAGGGGCTGACCTGCGCTGAAAAACCTTTTGTCTTTGGTGGTACTGAAGGCCCAGAGATTGCCGCAAAGCATTTAGGGAGCTGTAGTTTCTTGGGGGCTAAATGCACGTGCCTGTTGTGAACTGAAGCTGGAGGCTACCAGAAGATGAGCCCTAAGGCGCTCAGAAGGAGTAGCTGGGCCTGCTGGCTGATGGACGAGATGGGCAAGGGCAAGTTTATGGCTGATGAACGAGGGCGGGTGTGCACGCGGGATAAAGTTGCGAAGTAACTGGTGGACTGAGAGACAGAGGGGCTAACTTTACAAAGCCCTGTCTAGAAGCGACCTGAGTTGTGGAACATTGATTGCCAGAGTCAGAGAGAACCTTAGAAATCATCTGGACTAGAAAGTGAGGCCCAGAGAGAGGAAGGGAGTCAGGGTCATGCAACAATTTAAAAGGGGGATTGGGCTTAAAGTCTGGGTTCGGTGGACAAATTTTTTAAAAAGTCTTATTTGTCGGGAAGAGGAACACATGTAAATCCATGGCTGATTCATGTCAATGTATGGCAAAAACCACTACAATTTAAAAAAAAAAAAAAGTCTTATTTGGAGAATTTGCAAAGATAGTACAGAGAAGATGTGTAATCTTTACTCAAATTCACCTACCGCTAACAATTTGCTCCATTTACTTTTTTGATCTAAAGCAATAAAATAGCCAGTTATTTTATCAGCAAATTGGGTTTACTTGAGAACAGCAAAGAATTGCAATTCTCGGTCAGCAATTTATGGCAACCCACAGGCAAATCTGCAGAACAAGGAAGAGGACTTTTTTTTTTAGTGGAGAAGGGTGACTTGGAAGGGACTGTCATAAACAAAGAGTTAGAGGAAACTGGGGATTTGAAAGTGTGGCTTTTCATTGTCTCAGTTGTGACAGTCTCTTATTGGCTGGGCTGTTTCTGAGCAAGGAGAAAATTTTCTTTCCTTCTGCTGGAAACTAAAGTAGTAACCTTCTTATTGGAGATGCAAAGCTGTCTCTTCCTGTTGAGTCTCTACCTGTTGGAAGGTTGTGAGAGTTCCCCTTTCTGTACTCCTGACTCAATTTAAAATGAGGTTTCTGCTTATTAATTTTCACATCTTATCATTTGTTCCCTCCTTCTCTCCCTGCCTCCTTTCTTCTCTTTCTTTGTATTTTTGAAGAATAAAGGGTATCCTCTTACATAACTTAAATAAATTTAATCTAACTTCTGCATTCCATTTTTTCCATTGACCCAATAATGAACTTTATAGCAGTCTTCTCCCCTCACCCTCCAATACAGGAGGCAGTCAAGATTAGGTACTATATTTATTTTTCATGTCGGTTTAGTCTTCTTAATTTGTCCTCAGGCTTCCTTGCCTTTTGTTATATTAAAATAGAAAAAAAGAATGTTCCGGTATTGGGTTTCTCTGATGTTTTCTCATAATTAGATTTGTTGTTTTGCATTCTTAACTGAGGTAGCTAAGTGGTGTATGGACACTTAACTTTAATGAAACCAGGCCCATTTCTGGATTCTAGTATGATTGGATTCTTTCAGCTTCTTTTTCCTGCATTCCTCTCCTCTCTGTCTCTCTCCTTTGTCCCCGCTTGGCACCGGTGGGGTAACAAAGGGCCAGAGATATGCATGGCAGCACTCTCCAGGTAGTATGTATTTACCCTAAGTGCCCACAGGCTTTTCCTCTGCCTACCAGAATGCACACTCTATGAGAGCTGAATATTTAGTCTACTATCTTCATTGTTCTATTCCCAGAAAGTTCGACAGTGCTTGGCACACGGTGGGCACTCAGTAAGTATTTATTGAATGAATGAATAATGAAGAGCATTGAAGTGGCTGGTTAGGCAGACTGTGGCCAGGAAGCGCAAGGCGGTATGCTCCAGAATCCTGCAAGAACAGCCATAGTATTGTGCGCTTCCATTCTCCTCTCACCAGCAGGATGCTGAAAATATGAAAAGAAGAACAATTCTTGTATGTTTTATAACTTTCAAGTCTGTGTATCTACAACATCCCACATGAGCATCATTACAACCCCTTATGTTTTATAGATAAAGAAGTCAAAGTTCAGAGGTTAAATCACTTGTTTGGGGTCACTCATCTAGTCAGAGCCAGACTGGACTGGATCACACGTCTTCTAGGTCTAAGCCCTGTTTCCACTTCCCCTCTGTGTCCTGGGAAGCAAAGGCAACAGGAAAACTCATGTGACATGAGGGCACTGTGTGGACCTGGGCTAGTTGTAGGTGGAGAGATGGGAAGGATAAAGGATAATCATACTGAGGGGGGTATCTGGGAAGAATTTAATTGGGCTGAGGCAAAAATTAAGGAAGAGCAGCATTGGGGCAGTGTGGAGATTCCTTAAAAAGCTGGAAATAGAACTGCCATATGACCCAGCAATCTCACTGCTGGACATACACACCGAGGAAACTAGAATTGAAAGAGACACATGTACACCAATTTTTATTGCAGCAATGTTTACAATAGCTAGGACATGGAAGCAACCTAGATGGCCATCAGCAGACGAATGGATAAGAAAGTTGTGGTACATATGCACAATGGAATATTACTCAGCTATTAAAAAGAATGCATTTGAATCAGTTCTAATAAGGTGGATGAAACTGGAGCCTGTTATACAGAGTGAAGTAAGTCAGAAATAAAAACACCAATACAGTGTATTAACGCATATATATGGAATTTAGAAAGATGGTAACGATGACCCTATACGCGAGACAGCAAAAGAGACACATATATAAAGAACAGACTTTTGGACTCTGTGGGAGAAGGCGAGGGTGGGACATGTATATTACCATATGTGAAATAGATGACCAGTCCAACTTCAATGCATGAAACAGGGCACTCAAAGCCAGAGCACTGGGACAACCCTGAGAAATGGGATGGGGAGGGAGGTGGGAAGAGGGCTTAGGTTGTGGGACACATGTACATCCATGGCTGATTCGGATCAATGTATGGCAAAAAAACACTACAATGTTGTGAAGTAATTAGCCTCTAATTAAAATAAATAAATTAGTATTTTTAAAAATTAGGGAAGAGCAGCTTTGGGGTGGCAGCTTCAGGGGTGGATCCAATTTATTGCTACATAAGGCATTTCCCCTTCAGCTCTTCTTCCAGCCAGGTGTGCACGTTGGTGTTAAGAAGAAATACATCTTGAACACTGACTGTGAACCACTTGCTTCATAAATACAGTCTTATTTCAATTCAGTTCAGTTCAGTTGCTCAGTCGTGTCCAACTCTTTGCCACCCCATGGACTGTAGCACACCAGGCCTCCCTGCCCATCACCAGCTCCTGGAGTTTATGCAAACTCATGTCCATTGAGTGGGTGATGCCATCCAACCATCTCATCCTTTGTTGTCCCCTTCTCTTGCCGCCTTCAGTCTTTCCCAGCATCAGGGTCTTTTCAAATGAATTGGTTCTTTGCATCAGGTGGCCAAAGTATTGGAGTTTCAGCATCAGCATCAGTCCTTCCAATGAATATTCAGGACTGATTTCCTTTAGGATGGATTGGTTGGA